CCTCTGTGGCCCCGGGGAGGGATTCTGCGTCCTGCAGCGGCGCCCCGTTTCGAGGAAGCCGGCAAGAGTGGGGGAAAGCAGCACCTTCCTTTTGAGAACAGAGAATACGCGTGACTCGTTATGTAAATGCACTCGGCTCTCCGTGGTGAAAAAGCGCCCTGCGACGGCGCCTGTTCCTCTTGCAAGTCTTAAGCTGCAAGCAGAAGCGGGTTGGGCAGAGAGTCCTCCTCACCCCGCTCCTCAGCCGGAGGACTAAATGCCGCTGGGGTAACAGGGGTGTGTGCGGGCCGGGCTTCAGAAGCCACGAAGCGAAATTCACGCTGGGAGACCCGATGTTGGTCCAGCAGCCCCGGAGCTGGAGCCGGGCTGCCCTGTAGCCGCTCCAGATCTGGAGGAGCAGCGCGGCCTCCACAGAGGCTTCTGCACCGCTGCTTCCCAGAGCAGCCCCACACGAACGCTTGCCGTGACTCAGCTCTGGCAGATGCAGCCCTCTGCAGCTGGCGTGCGGGGCAGCAGCAGAGCGGAGGCATTCCTGCAGCCGCTTCGTCTTTCGGAAGTAAAGTGGGGGGAGGGGCCAAACACTCGTTTCTTCCCCCTCCACACAAGTAGCTGGATCTCGCCTGGCCCACTCCGGCCTCCCCCCTCTACCGCATCGGTCCCCAGCCCTGGACCCTGCTTTGCTTGAGCAGCACCAGCAGCCGCCTCTCTCAAGGGCCCCCAGCAGCGGGTGTCCCAAAGGAGCAGGACGGAGGGGGGCCGGTGGAAGGCTCCTCCCTGCACATCCCTTCTGTACCCCTCTCTCTGGGCCTTCCCATGCCCAAGGGGAGGGCGGGCCACACAAAACCCTGACACTCCCACCCCAAACCAGGGCTGCAGGAGGGGAGGGGGCTGCTCCCCCAGAAAAGCTGCTCAGCCTGCTTGTCCTCTGCTCAAAGCAAAGCGGAGAAGTGATGGAACAGGGAGGGGGTGCTGTCTTGTCCTGGATGCTGACAGGCCAGAGGGCAAACTGCCAGCCCAAGCCCACCCAGAAAGTCTGGGGGAAGGGCACCCTCCTTGCCCTGCCAAAGGAGAGGCTTGTTTTGGGCTTGCCTGCTTGACCAGTCCTGGGCGGGTCTCGGAACGCCCGTCCAGGCTGCTGCAGGGGCCCCAACAGGGAGGGAGCGCCTGGGGCAGGACCTTTTGGTCCCTCCCTCCCTCCCTCCCTCCCTCCTGCAGTCCTCTGTCCCCGCCCCACTTGTTGAGCTTTGCATCCAAGGCACCTGGAGAGCAGCCATGCCACTCCCTGGCCCCCTCCCCTTTGCCCTTGCCGTCTGGCCAGCTGGGGCAGAGCCTGCTCTCCTCCATCCCTGCCAGGGCCAGCCCTGATCCGAGGCCAGCCCCTGCTGGATGGCCTCCAAACACCCGAGCCAGCTGCGGAAGGAGCTTGCTGCTTTTGGGGACGGGGGTGGTTCTCCGGCCCAAGGACTGGGTGCCCTTCCAAGGTGGTGGGCACCGGGGCCTCCTCAGCCTCACACAGCCTGTCACGGGGCGGAGATAAATGACTGCTTCTCCCCAGCTTTGCATTAACCCTTCCAGCCCTTGCCTCTCCAGCCTGCTCACCTCCCTCCCTCCTGGAGGGGGGGGGTTGCTGGCTTTGTGGAAGGAGGGGGCACCCCAGGGCTCAGGTGAGATCCCCTTGAAGCAGCAAGTGGGGGGGTGAAAAGGCAGGTCCTTGTTGGGGAGAACACAGCCCCCCACAAGGAGGCCAACCTAGCTCAGCTCCCGCTGCTCTTCTGGGGAGGGGCGGTCATCAACCCACCTCCCCTCTTGGTGTTTCCTTCGCAAGCCCCATAAGAAGGCTGCCGGCTCTGCAGAAGCGAGAGGTGCTCCAGGCCCCATCCTTCTCAGAGGGCCAGGCTGCCTGACGGCCTTTGGGCCTGCCAAGATTTGTGGGAACAGAGCAACTGCTTCAGATGCCAGCCGGAGAAGCAGCCCATCTTCCGAAAACACAGGCTGCCACCGGATCCTTTTTCCCACGCACACCCATCATCTTGAGGGTTGAGGGTGGGGGGATCCTTTTGGAGGATCCCAGCCCCTTTCCCAGAGTCTTTGGGGGCAGGCACAGTGACGGTTCAGCAGGGTCTCAGGGACAGGAGGGGTCCCTCCTTGCAGAGCCCACTTTGGCTGTCCCCCTTGAGGCCTGGTGGACCTCAGGACACCTCCGGAGGTTCATAAGAGGACCTGGATGATTTGAGTGGTTTTCTGCGTGTTGGGGAGGGCCAGACCGGGGATCCTTGGGCTCCCTTGCAACTCCAGCATGCTGTGGGACTGCAGATCAATTCCGGGCTGGGGGTTTCTTACGCTGTGCCCCTTTCTCCCCTGCAGTCTGCAGGGCTGGCCCACGGCAAGGCCAGGCCCAGGATGAGTTCCTCCTCGCTGCTGGAGGAGAGCTCCCTCGAGCCCCCGGTGCTGCTGAGCGACATCAAGACGGAGCCCCCCGAAGAGCTGCTGGCCACCGACTGCAACCAACCGCAGGCCGAGCCGGTGGACCTGTCTCTCCATAAGCCCAAGAGCTCCCTGCAGCCTCCTGCCGTCCGCTCTTCGCCCATGCTGGCCACACCGCCCACCCCAGCCCCCGTGGTCTCCATGTCACCCTCGGGGCTGGGCTCATCCTCGGCCATCCCCGCCGTGCTCTCCCCCGGCTCCATCCTCGCGTCGACGCAGGGCAGTGGCGGGCAGCAGATCTTGCACGTCATCCACACCATCCCTTCGGTCAACCTGCCCAGCAAGATGGGCCACCTGCAGACCATCCCCGTGGTGGTGCAGTCCCTGCCTGTGGTCTATACCGCCATGCCCAGCGACGGCGTCACGGCCGCCATCACGGTGCCGCTGATTGGGGGGGATGGCAAGAACGCTGGATCTGGTGAGCCGCCAGGGCTGCAGGGCCGGGATGGGACCGCCGGCCTCCCTCCTCTGCCTGCGGCTGGATCCTGGCCCTTTGGGTCACGCAGGCCCAGAGCCGAGGCAGAGGGCAGGCTGAAGCTCTTCCTCTCTCCCTGGTCGCATCCCCGATGTGGAAGGGGGGGGCAGCTGCTGCAGAGACAGGGTCCTCCCTCTCCAGCAGAGTCTGGCTGGAGGGGGGGCGGGCTGAGCAGAGGAGGAAGCAGACGCGCTTCAGCGCCAGACCGGAAGCGTCGCTGGATGGCAGGTCCCTCGTCCTGGGTTTGAACAGGGCCTCTCTCCCCCCACCTGCTTGCCAGCGGGGGAGGCAAGGAAAACGCCCTGCGAGCAAATGATAAATGGAACTCCCCCCGCCATAATGAACATCCATTTACGCAGAGATCCACTCTACATCTCCCTCTGCCCAAGGGCTAGGCTGTCACGCCGCGTCTTGGGAAGAGGCAGAAGTTTCCAGGGCATGGGGTGGAGAAGGTTGGGGGGGTGTCAGAAATAGGAGTCGTTTGCCCTGGCACTCTCGCCTGCTGCTGCTGGCGAGGGAGCCTTCTACGGCTCTGCCTCCCAGCGGCTGATATTCTCTTTCCTTTGAGGACCTGCCAGCCTGATCTCTGACCGGGTTTCTGTTTCTTCGGCAGTGAAAGTCGACCCCAGTTCCATGTGCCCCGTGGAGATCAATAGTGACAGCGAGGACAGTGCCTCCGAGAGTGGGCCCGCCTCCTTTCCCGACCCCCAGAAAGAGTGAGTCACGGCCTGGAAGGGGGCGAGGGGGAGGCTGCTCTGCGTGGACGGCAGAGGAGCGTTCCAGCAGAAGCGCCCAGGAAGCGTGGCGCTGTCTGAGCGCCCTCTGAGCTCCGGCTTCGGCCCTCCCGAATGTCTTGCCAGGCCCTCATTGGGGAGACCGCCGCGGACGGAGTCCCCTGACCTGAAGAAGAGGCGGATCCACCAGTGTGACTTCGAGGGGTGCAACAAAGTTTACACGAAGAGCTCACACTTGAAAGCACACCGAAGGATACACACCGGTGCGTCCTTGGGATGGGGGAGGCATGGTCAGTGCGGCCAATTTCCATGTGGTCTCACCCCTTTCAGTAGGACCCCTGGATTCTTCAGGGCCCATTACGTTCTGGGGAACCCCCAAGGGAGCTGCTGTTGAATTCCCATTAGACGCATCCTTCTGCCTAAATCATACCGCCCTGCTTTTCCCCCCCCCCCCCCGCTTTGGATGTCCAGGACAAGTGTGGCCAGCAGCATCAGGCCGGCAGAGCCTGCCCTGTTTACTCAGAGTTGCCCGACTTCTAAGCCCAGAGGGGCCAGATTGGGGTCTTAGGTGTGCCTTCTGCCTCCCCGGCTTTCCCCTTCCCTTCCTTTCTGGAGATCTCATGGTGTCTGGGAGCCATTTGCCTCCCACCCGGGAACCTCCACTCTCCTGCCTCTGCTTTCTGCCACCCCTCTGGAAATACCCTGGGGGCAGGGTCCAGGTCAGTCACTACATCCTAGGAAGGGCTGTGCGAGGGCTGCGGCAGGGGGGCCTCGCAGCTTAGAAAGGGGCCGAGGCGGCCGAGAGGCTAGACTTAGGCCAGGCGTGGACAGAAGGCGGGGGAGGGGCTCTCCTCACTCTTTCCAGCAGAACCCCAGGAGGGTCTCGGAGCCGCCTCCTCACCCGGTGGGGAGTGGAACCCGGGACGGTGCGGATGCAGCTAGCGGGGAGCCTGTGAAAGGGGCAGGCAAATTTGGTGGCTGAGTTCTCAGGCCACGTGGCTCTGGGCGCTGCGCTCTGGAACCCCAAGGGGCAGCGCCCACTTCCCGCGGCTTCCTTCAACACAGGGAGGGCTCCTGCAGGGGATCCCAGCCAGGCGGGGCAGGCGCTGCTTTCTGCTGCTGCACTGATGAAACACGTCGCAAGAGGGGCTCCCCTCCCTCCCCCCCCCAGCCCAACTGGACTGGACTTGGGAACAAAGCCTTACAGCGGATCCCCTCTCGAGCAGGTGGCTCTCTGCGGATGCCCGCAGCCGATGCCACGCCTCTGTGCCAAAATCAGAGGTGGCTTTTCTGAACTCTTCAGCCCCCCACCCTTCATTAGCCTGCTCTGCTCTGCTCTGCTCCTGTGGGGCTGGGATTGCTGGTTCTTCCCCTAGCAACTGATTCGGTCCCTGGGATCCTCCCACACAGGTTTCCTAGCAACCTGTTCATTTTTCAGGCTGGAATCCTTTTAGTTGGGTATCCTAGCAACCCCCTCCCTGCTCAGTCCCACCTGCTCTCTGTGCACAAACGCATCCGCTGGCAGCTCTCGGGACCCTCCTGTTGCCCCTGGAATGCGAGGCAGGCTGGCACCCAGACCCACAGCCCTGGGGGTGCTCCGGGAGGCTGCCCGTGGGGCGTGCGCCTTCCCTCCCTGCTCTTGGTGCAGACCAGCCTCCTTCCTGCTGCTCCTTGGCTCCCTCCCGGCATCTGTCTGCTATTTGGCTGATCTGATTTCAAAGCACATTCTACTTCTTTGTTCCGGGGCACCTCGCAGGTGGTGGGCAGCAGTCTGGGGCAGGCCCACATGCACACGCAATCTCTGTATTTTGAAGGAGGGGGAGAAGGTGATCTTAAAAAGGCAGCCTGCTCTTTCCTTCTCCCACGATGGTTTGGTGCTGTGCAAAAGCGGGGGTGAGAGGAAGCGGTAGGTGATCCCCAGGCCAGCTGGCTGCTCCGCGTGCCAGGAGGCCGGATTCGGACTTCAGCATTTCCAGCTGAAGAGGGTTCTGTCCTCTGCCCAGGAGTTGGGGGTGGGGGTGCTGTCTGCCTGTCGGTTGGCAAGATGGACAAGTGACCTTCCCTTTCTCTGACTTTCCCCACATCAGAAGAGCGCAGTGGGGCAAGGCAGTTCGCTAGCTCTCTCAGTGGGGCTGGAGGTGGGAGTGGGGATCAGGTGGAGAACGACTGGCCCCAAGGGAGCCCAGGGGCAATGCACATCTGTGTGTACTCTCTCTCTCTGGATGGGTGGCAGGGAACCGGCTTCCAGGAGCAAAATGCGTCAAGCGTGGATTTCATAAAGAGTCCCTGATCCTATCCCCCCCACTTTCTCCCTGCAGGAGAGAAGCCCTACAGGTGCACCTGGGAGGGTTGCACCTGGAAGTTTGCTCGCTCGGACGAGCTGACCAGGCACTTCCGCAAGCACACGGGCATCAAGCCCTTCCGTTGCTCAGACTGCGACCGCAGCTTCTCGCGCTCCGACCACCTGGCTCTGCACCGCCGGAGACACATCATGATGTGAGCGGGGCAGGGGGTGGGCAGCCCGTTTCCCACCAGCCCCTGAAGCGGCGTCCCGTTGTGAGCCTTGGCGGCGAGTCGAGAGCCGTGCACCCGGAGAGCGTCCGTGCCATCCTGCAGCCCCGAGACTGGCCTGCTGTCTCTGTGGGCCGTGGAGGTTCAGAGTCTTGGGAAAATCCAGCCCTCTGGAAGCCAAGTGGGGGGCACCGGTTGCTGGAGCAGACTGCAGAGGGGCTTCTGCAGTGGGACCCAGGCAAGGAAAGCTGCCGACCCCGCGTTTCTCAGGGGGCCACAGTGCCACGCCCACGCACGGGGCTCTTCTCCACGTGGCACAGAAGCCAGGCAGCCTCCGGTTCTTTGCCGGCATTCCTTGCTCACAGCACAAAAACAGAAATCCCACACCACCAGGAAGGAACTGGTGTGCTGGGGGTGGGGGGTGGGCTTGGGGTTGATTGCTTTTAACTAAGTTTTTATGAGCGCTGGAACAAAGCCTGTAGCTGAAATTTGGCTTGGAACCCACCCTGGAGACCCCACAGGCGGGACTGATTTGCTTCTGGGACTGTGCGAAGCCGTCACTTTGCATAGCTTCCCGTCCAGCCGGGGACCGCAGCTCTCCTCTTGAGAGACGTTTTGCTGAACATTTTGAATTCAAGATCAACTTTTTTTTGGATTTTAAAACTGTATTGCATTCGGGGGAGGGGGAGAGGGAGGGGCGCCACTCCGATCAAATCGTGGCAGGGCTGAGCCCGTCCTGGCCAGCGGCTCATTTTGCCGCTCGTGGGCACGCAGAGGCCTTCTCAAAAGAGGCCCCATGTTCGGCAGGGAGGGGGCGGAGGGGCTGGGCTGGAATCAAGAAAAAAGGAAAAACTCGGGAACGCAGAACTGTGACACCCACTCAGTTAGACGGGGGTGGGGGGAGTGGTTCCTAATTCTGCCTGCAAGGTCAGAAAGGGCAAGTAAGGCAGATAAATATTTCGAACCCGGCAACCTGCACCCGGATGGCTTTCTGTGTTTTGTTGGGGTGGTTCAGCAGAAGGCGCTGTGCGGGGGCGCGCTGAGATGTTCAGAACTGTCACTTTGGGGGCAGTCAGGTTTGGAGATGATGTGCTGTGTTCCAGTTGTGTGTGTGCGTGTGCGCGCACGTGTGCATGAAAGGCTGTTGTTACTCGCTGGCCTTCGCAGCTTTGTGCTGAACGGTTGGCTCTTTGTGAGGAGGACCCAAGGCTGTGGGGTGGGGAGGGAATGAGGAGGCTTCCCCAGGATTTCCGCCTGTTGGGTGGATGTTCACCCGGGAGTTAGACGTGGGGAATGACTTCAGGTGGGACAGCAGCAAGCGTGAGGGTACCACACAGTGCTGCATTCTTGGACCCGCTGGCCCTTTTGGTGCCTTGACCTGTGTGAAGGATTAGCGCTGCCATGAGGCGTGCCAGTGTCGCCTGGCACATTAAACTACAGTGGGAACAGGAAGCCACTTTGGACTCCTGTCTGCCGGGGCTCCTCTCTGCAGCTGGCTCCAAATGTCCTTGCCAAAGCAGGACAGGATGAGCCCCCCCCGGCAGCTGTCCTTCTGGGCAACCTGTTTGTCCTTCGCAGTGGCAGCAGGATGCAGCCCTGGTCTCCTCTGGCCTGCTACCTCCGGTCCTCCTGTCGCTTCCTCTCCGGAAGAGGAGGAGGCGGCGGCGGCCTCACTGATGCTCAGCAAGCGCTCCTCGGCCCGGGGAGCGAGCCTGCCCATGGGCCACTCAGGCCTCAGCCGATTCCAAGGGGGCTTCATGTCGCTCTACGGAGTAAGCCCCCCAATATCTCTGCAGTCAGATGTCAGGCCTCATCTGGCCAGAAGCTGGAGCTCCAGGCCTCCCTTCGGGGCTGTCGCTCACTTTGTTGGTTCAGGGTGGTGTCCCTTTTCTGCCAGCAGAGGGTG